GGTGGGGGGGGGCAGGTTTACAAAGACAATACTGAGAAATATCAGTCTAGTAGGGATGACAAAAAGAACATAAATGAGTCTAGTACAAGATGGGCAGTACTATGGATTAGTTACAAGCCTTAGGAGAATATCAGGAAGATGAGGAGAGAGAGCTGAGTGGAGGCTGGTCATCTATGAATCACTGCAAGGTCACATCTTGACCCAGAGCACACAACTGAGCAAAGTCCCTCCTGCCACCCGGCCTGAATTTGAACATCTGGCTTTGAACTGTGCACGTACACACTTCTGTCATCTTAACCCTTTTGGTGACCTATTTGGATATGTAGTTCTCACCTACATTTTTCATCTCTGGGGTTTAGTGGGAAGTTCCCATCCCACTTAAGTACATGCTTCCAACTGGTAAGAGCCTGTTTAGTTGTGTGAATCTAAAGGAATACATTTTATCCCACCAGCCCTGGCCCCAGAGTCCCCAGTAAGATATATATAAGTAGGTGTTCCACTATTGTATGAAAAAATAAGTTTTCATTTCAATCAAAAGACCGAAACATGTGATTCCCACAAAAAATTCAAAATGTCCATCTTGAAAGCATTACATCACTCACTTTGTAGTACAATAGCCCTGGCAAACTAATGCACTGGATCTTGATGGTTTTTGTGAGTGTTGACCCTTTTTATGAGGTGTTGCTGTTTCCCTTCTCAGCCTGATGCTGTAAAGTGCCTCAGGTATACTGGTTCAGTCTGTTTTCACAAAAGCCCCGTGAAGTAGATCCTGTGCTATTCAGTGAGGTTACCATTGTCCAAAGCAGAGTTTCGAACCAGTTCATTGCACTTCAACTCCCTGCTGAAAATTTATATTTCTACCCTGGATACTGAATCAGGGTCTACCTTTTGACAAGATCTCCCTGGGAATTCTTATCGTCTTAGGTTGGGTTCACTGGAGAATCAAAACCAGGGAAGTGGACATATGTATATGTTATGCAGTGCCTCACAACAGAAAAATGGTTTACCTCTTTGTTAAAGGAAGGCAAGTTCTAAGTCTATGGGTCAGCTATTACAACGGAACCTTTTCTTAACTCACGTAGCTGTGAGGACTGATGATCTCAACACTAGAAGCAGTTTTCTGGCTGCAAAAGTAAATGAATCCAAAGTGAACTAATGAATCAGACTGCTAATGATTCCCAAGATCACAGGTAATATGGCAGGCCTCAGATTCAAGTCCAAAGGTCAAACCAGATGCCGGACCCAGACCCAGCAAAAAGCAAGGAAGCTTTTCCACAGCATTCACTTATATTGGAAGCAAGCTACATCTCTGAGAAAACTTTATTTCATTGATTGCATTAGGGCTGTGATCTGTATAAGGGAGATGCATCCCACCCTAATCTTCTTATAACTGCTGTATGTCTCAGAGCAGATCCCACCATGGAGGTGGTTTCATTGTGTTAGGTCACATCGTGGAAGATTAAACTAAAAACCAAACTCACTGCCATTGAGTCAGCGGCCCTGTGGTTTCTGAAGTTGCACATCTCCATGGGAGCAGAAAGCTTGATCTTTCTCCCTTAGAGAGTTTGGTGGTTTCTAACTGCCATTGGTTAGCAGCCCAACTCACTGCCCCTACGTCATCACCGGACCCGCCTTCTAGGTCTCAATATCCAAGTTACTGAAAACCCTGGCTCGGCCAAGCTGACCCAGACTCTTTAACGGTCACACTCGTGTATACCTTATGTATCGTTGAAGCACAGATTCTGATTCACATGAACTGTATCTGGGATGAAAACGCAAATTCTTAGCAGGGAATTGAACTGGAATGAACTGCCTTGAAACCCTGGTTGAAAAGTGAGTGTGGTAGAACCAGAACTGACCCTTGGTGTCTGACCTCAGCTATGAATTCTCCCACCCTTCCCCCTCCCCCTTCCCTATCTCTCTCCCCTCCCCTCTCCCCTTCTCTCTCTCCTGCCCCCATTTTCTCTGCCTTAGCAGATAGTTAGCAAGACAGACAGCTTACCCCCTTTCCTTCTTCCACAGAAAGAAAATTTTGGTTGATCCTTTTCACAGATAGGATAGGAGAAATTAAAAAAGGGTGATCCTTTTGTGACAAGAGCTACATCAACAAATAGCTCTTGGATGTCCTCTCCTAAAGGAAAGAGAAGAATATCTTTACTAGATTGTATGTTTTGTTGTGTACATAAAAGTCAAGCAGAATTTACAACAGATGAACCAAAAGGCCTTTCATTTTCAAAAGACTTCTCTGTGTGGGAAAAGTTTTCTTGGAAAAAAAGATCCTCAGGTGAGCCCACAGACAGACCTGGGAGCAATGGCCCTTTCTTGGTCTGTACCTCAATCTGTCCGTTCCCATACTCTTGTGCCATGGCCACTTTATGCAAACCCCGAAGATCTGACTTTCAGAACTTCTTGTACAACTACCTAGCACTATGAGTCCCTCAGCATATTTGGATAGTGTGCAGCATGTGGTCCAGCTTCCCCCAAACCTGCTGTTGCTACAGAGATTCCATCGTGGTTATCCTAGGCAGTATCATGGTGCCTTACAGGCAAGCCTTCCAAATATCTCTGCTTTTATCTCAACTCCTTCTTTGAATCTTACAACCTCCCAGTCTCCTTTCCATTTCTCTTGTCTCCCTTTGTTTCTCAAGCTGTTTCTACATTCAGATATTGTGCAAGGTTCTGGAAATGCAATGATGTGTGAGCATTGTTGACCTCTGGGAATGTTCCCTCCATTCCCTTGGGATGATTCTACATGAGGATTTTATTAAAATCCTGTCTTCTGATTTAGATCAAACTATTTTAAAAGGGAGATCACCTATTGACTATAGCAAATATATTGACTAACTGTAATGACACAACCCAATACACAGCAAACAATCAGAAAGTACATTTGCCCATCGATGTGGGAAGGATATGTCAAAGTTTAATCATTTATATTAGCTATTTGGGACACTGAAGACCAAAAAAGAATGATGCATTTGAATTATGTTGCCACAAAGAATATGAAAAGTACCATGGACGGTCAAAAGAACAAATAAATCTGCCTGGGAGAAGTGCAGCCAAAATGCTCCTTAAATGCTCCTCTCATGTATTTTGGACATGTTATCAGGAGAATGGAATCATCGTTTGTAAAGTAGCAGTGCAATGCAAAAGACGAATCCCCTTGACAAGATGGATTGACACAGTGACTGCAACAATGGGCTTATTCAAAAAAACAATTGTGAGGCTGGTACAGGACAGGGCCATCTATTGTACATAAGACCACGATGAGTCAGAACTGATTCAAGGGCAATTTGGGGCTAAAAACTCCCGCAAAAATGACAAACCAAGTATGGCTAATTAAACAAAAGGCTCAAGATATTTTCTTTCTTCCTTTTTGTCCCTTGGGTTTACTAATTACAAGTGTTTCTATAATCTAAATGAGTGACGAGAATCTTTTTTCAGCATTCACAGGATTCAATGGGATGTCTACTCTTTCTAGGGATTACCAGAGAGAGACTAGAAAAGGAAGATGAAAAGAGAGGTGATTCACGTGAGTGCTGGGGAACAGTAGTTTAACCAGCCACAGTTGTTAATATGGGTCATTGGGTGGATGGAGTATGAAAGGGCTGTGTAATGTTTTATTTCATGCTAATAATTTTTACTTACCCAAAATTATTCCAAATCTGATGCTGAGATTTTGTTTTACATGTCTGGAACACTGGTCAATAGAAAAGCCAAAGTCCTGTAATGGATCTATGGAGGAGAAAACAACAGATTAGTTGCGAGAACATTGTATATTCTGCAAAGTCAGATGCAAAAGTCACAACAATTGTAGTACTTTTTGTTTTCCACAGACACCTAAATTGATGCAGAATCATATTGCCTCAACAACTTTTTTTTTTTTTTTGGCGTAAGCCCTTGATTATTTCACACGCCTTCTCAGTGCCTCAATTTTTGGAAAAAAGATGGTGTATTGTTAGCAGGTGACATCTTTACTGGTTGCTAAAGTTCTTTTTGTTCCTGCACTTTTGCCTAAAAAAGGCTCAGGCATCCGAAGACCCAAACAAAACAAAAACATATTTTTGAGAATGAGAGGGGTTGAAGCAGAGACCCCAAACCCATGTGTAGACAATAAGACATCCCCTCAATCAGGGCGCAGTATGGCATCGATGAAACACACAATAGTCCTCTGGTTCGTTGAGGCTTCCGCACCCCCACTATCATGACCTCAGTTCTGTCTTTCAGTCTGGCTAGCCTGGAGCATGTACAGATAAGAGCTCAGAACACACAGAATCCAGGTCAGATAAACCCCTCAGGAACAGAAATGGGAGTAGCGATACCAGAAGGGTAGGGGGACAGTGAGGGGAGGAAGGGGGAACCAATCGAAATGATTGACACATACCCAACCACCCCCACCCTGAGGGGTATGAACAACAGAAACGTGGGTGAAGGGAGAGGGAGGCAGCAGTTAGTGTAAGATATGAAAATAATAATAATTTATCAAGGGGCCACGAGGGTGGAGGGGGAGGGGGAAAAGAGGAGCTGATAACAAAGACTCAAATAGAAAGTAAATGTTTAGAAAATGATGATGACAACACATGTACAAATATGCTTGATATGATTGGATGTATGGAATGGTATAAGAGCTATAAGAGCCCTCAATAAAATGATCTTTAAAAAAAAAGCTCATTAATTGCACCAAGATCTGCCTTTATGAATCCATTCCATGGTAGACAAACACACATATTATATATTTATAAATACATATATAACAATATATATGTATATATATAAAACAAAAATCCCATTATATGTAGAGTATTGTGCTAGTTATGATTAGGGTTATCAAGATAAGCAATAGCATATTCAACATAACTTCTCAATCAAAATACTCCAGTGGTTGTTGTACTCCTCAGAATAAGGTCCAGAAATATTCCACTGACCCCCATCTTCTAGACTCCACATCGTGAATCCTCTATTCCTTGACTAGGTGGAGACATACAACTCAGAAAATCCCCACCATGCTTGATTAGTTTCTCTGTTTTCTTCCATCTCAAATGGCCTTATCCATTTGCGTCATCGTCTAAATATTCAGGCCTTGCTCAGTTTCTATCTTCTTGGTGAAGGCTTCCTTTATAGTCTCAAAATATTATTTTATTTCTCTGAATTATTGAAAGTCATATCTTAAATAGTTTTTAAAGCAGGCAGGCGTATATGAGTTTGTACTTTGGTATTTGGTTTAACCCCACCCCCAAACCTAATCTAAACATGAAACTCACAAAGAAAGGCACAAGCTAGATTTTTTGCATTGATTTGTTTCACTTTTCATTGTTTTCCCTGGTGTTTCTCCCAGTGGACCTGAGGGAGAAAAGCTCATTTTAACCAAGACTCTAGTTCCATGTCACTGACTTGTGCACTTCCACAGAATTCCCCATTTATTCCCCAGATTTCACGGCGCTCTACCAGGATACATCATGCATGGATGAATGGCCATATAGGAAGCTATAATTTCTTAGCTTCACACCAACCATCTCTACTCTTCTTTGTAGCCCTGTGATTCTCTGCCGTCACTTTTCTCCGTGCCACCTACCAGCAGATATTCCACAGGCTATAAAAGTGAAAGCATTATTTTCATGGTGGGCCACTGTTTCTTGAGCATCAACCCCAGTGATGGTCAATCACGTGACCTGGCAGTTGGTTCTAGTGTCCAGCTCTTTTGTGTACCTTTCTAGAATGAGCTGCTGCTTGAATCTTCAGCAATAATAGCCCCTCAAGAAAAGGATGCCTTTTCCTCAGATATTTGGACCTCAGCTCCACAGGGCCCTTCTTTGAAATTTCCTGGGTTCTAATAAGCCCAATTGTCCTGTGTTTTTTGAGTCCTAGGTGTGGTGCTGCTTCCTTGGTGTCCATTTTTAACTTTTTTGTCATTGTCGCTCTGATTGCATCTAGCATCTGTCTGTCAACCTCTGGCGAAGTGTGTGTCGCTGTGATGCTGGAAGCGATGTCACTGGTATTTTAAATACCGTCAGGGTCACCCATGATAGACAGGTTTCAACACAGCTCCCAGACAAAAACAGACTAGAAAAAAAAAATCTGGCAATCTACTCCACAAATCAGATTTGTGGACGGATCCCAACAGAAGGCGAGTCCCAAGGTTGGAAGAGACTCTACAGCCACGGACACAAACAAAGCAAGGGTCATGAATACAGTTCAGGAACAAAGAACATTTTGTTCGTTGCCCACGAAGATGTCAGGCGTCAGAGCTGATTTGATGGCAACTAAGAAGAACAACTGCCTTGGTGATACGCTCCGGAGTGCTAACCACAAAGCTGGTGCTTCAGCTTCATCAGCAGGTCTCTCATCAGCGGAGAAAGGCTTTCTTCTTCAAGACTGATGGCTTCAGAAACTCTGCGTAGGGTTGCTAGGAGTCCGAAAAGACTTGATGGGAGTGGGCTTGGATTTGGGGACCCATTTTCTAGATCCATTCCCTCTATTAAAATAACTACTCATATCATTTCTATTTTCTAACTGGAACCAGATTGACACAGTAGACAGCAATCTTGAGAGATTGTTATGGTTTTTTGAATTTTATGGCTGGCACAACGTAGATTCAGGGAGATTATATTAGCTTACCTAGGTAGTAGAAAGGATCAGAGCCAAGATTCAAATGCAGACTTAAAAGCAAGCAAACAAAATTGCTACCTTG